AAGAAAGAAAGAAAGAAAGAACATGGAACATGTGCGACTTGGTCTTTGTGTGTTGTATTATATGTGCAGATATATTCCCCTATAGGTTTGTTTTATGTGTGCGTACTGGCATACACATGCATTTTTCAGTATGTTAACATGCAGAGTCTCTGCATGCACTGTAAATTTATGAATTTATGTGTAGAGATTGTGGTTGGGTGCATATCTGTGGATGTATTTTGGTTTGTGAGTGAGAATGTACATGTTAGGTAGATACACAAGTGTACATGATATTACACTGTTACACTTATCTATTCATTTATTTATACATGGTGTAAGAGAAGGATTTTATTTGTGGTGTGGCTATATTCATGGAAAAATGTATGAAGAAAAGTAGATTGAATTGTAAAGACATGCATGTAGTAATTTTCCATGTAATAATTTTCCAATGAGTGCATATTAGTCCCTGTTGAAGTGTCATTGAGCTATAACTGTAAATCCTTACCTGTAAGCCCTTCCTGTTCTGTAGCTTACTCTGACCTACCAGTACAGTATATATGTTCTCCCTGAGGAGCTGAGGTTTGTAGAAGGAGGATTTCACCTCAGTATTGTGTGTCTACAAAATCCAACATTATTTAAGGTGTAATTTATGTGAAAATGTCTCATTTTTCATGCGTCGAAATGTTTTCACAAAGCTTGTGAACTGAAATTGTAGGCTTTCAGGTGTCAGTGGTTAATAATACTGTATAAATGCCCTGTGGGTGCAGTATAAAGTCGTGTAGACTTGATTTCATAGAAAGTGTTGGTGAACACTGTGACCTGAAGTAGTCCTAGCCTCCTGGCCTCATGTATCATTGCACTGTCATCTTCATTCATCTCTGTTATTGATTCATCTGTGGAATTGCTTTTGCCATGACGCAATACAAGTAGGAGGACTGCTGCACACAGAGGGCGCTCACCTCTGACCTTGCACATAAATCATCCCCTCTAATAAAATTGACTCGTCCCATTCTTTTTCCCTTGCCATTTCCTGCAGGGTCAAAGCAAAGAAAGGGGTGAACCTGCTCCAGACCAAGTCGAAGAACGCCCAGTGGAAGGTGGACTGGGAGGTGCAGTCCGGCGCCAAGCATTCCATCACCACCATCGATGTGAACAAGAACAAAGCAGTCAAACAGGGGTAAGTCAACAGCCCCGGGCCTAAACACACTGCGTCTGTCTAACCAACTACCGGAGCTGCAGCTGTTGATTCCTGCCCTCATTCTATGCTACACAAAAAAAAAACAATGATATTTGTCTTCCTTAACAATAGACCAAAAAGTCTCCAAAAAGGTTTTATTGCGTGTAGCTGTCATAGGTCACCCTCTGATTAAAGGCAGCTTTCAAAGCATATCCTTTCTTTGTAAATGCCCCAGGAGCTACAGAAGATAAAATACAGCTTTGGCCCACAGCAGTGACTAAAGCACCCTCCGCTTTACAGCACAAAGTTAAATGAATGGAGATGTTATCTGCTTAGTCTCACTACATCTGCTGTTAATTCAGTCTACATGGAATGATGAGGTAGACGATTTTGACTGCCAGCGTTAAAATACCTTGGAGATGAGATCTTGTCTAAGAGCAGTAATTATGCCAAGTTCCTCAAGAGTGTAAAAACACCAAATCACAGTCCTGTAGGGTCTGACGCACTGTAATGGACTCTGTCTGGCCAGGTTCTACGGTAAATGCAACTTTATGGTAATAGTGAAACTAAAGTTGCTGAGTGATTTGCGATCCTAATGTAGTCTAAATGGTGTATAGCCTATTAATGCATTTGTTAAACTGCTTTAAGAAATACAGCCTAAATCATTTGCCCTGTAAATGAAGGGACAGAAATGAACATGTCGAGGTAGTTCATTCATTTGTTACCTTGCTCTTCTACCACTCTTCTTCTCTACCAAAATTAAAAAACAAGACAAAAACATTGGTATGTAGCCATTAGGTTACTTTTGTTTTGGAGTGGAGGAGAGACTTCTGATTTATATCTATATCAAATTATATTTCAAAGGAGCAACAGCAACATTTCTTTCTATGGTCTCTTGCCACTGTTTTCTTAGGGACTATGTCTTTGGTAGAAAGTGTTCCAATGAAAACCTGACAGTAAAGTTTGTGTGTATACATAACAGATAGGAGATAGGTGGCCATGTATATGTTCAAACATAGGCTGTGAGAAACACGGAGGAGCCTATATAGAGAAAAGAAAACTTTGTTTTGTTTACAGAAAACAGTTTATATCCTCATTGAGACCAGGATATTTAACGATTCCTAATTCTAATGGTGTGTTTATGCTCTTCCACACACGGACAAGACAGACCATAGTGTTGAGTCGCATACCTAATTTGCACATTAGCACACTGAGGACAATGCATGCATGTAAAAACAACAACCAGTACCTTTTTTTCTAACCTGCTGGAAGATATTAATGCAAGAGCCCATCCCAAAGTGTGGGGGCGCGTCAGAAAGAAATAATAGGGAGTTCAGGAAAAACTTTACTCAACAAGATGTCACTCTCAATAATGGCCCAGTTACTTTTAACGATCCGATTTGTTCAGCATGTGTATTATATGTGGTGACAAAAAAAGGGGCGAGACTGAGATGCAGGCTTGCGTCTGATGTTTTTTTTTTTGTTTTTGAAGAAGGAGACTATCACACTCAAGTTACTGTAGTCTGTCAAATGCCTGCTTAATCACACACACAATCAGGTTTGTAAGACTTCAAACCTTCAAAAAAAACATAACCTTTGAAAGAAAACATCCCATATGACCGATTCCTGCTGTGAACGTGTTTGTGATCAAGAGACTGATTATGTTGCACAGGCTGAGGCTGTGTCCAATAGGTTTTCAGACAGAGCTTACAAACCCGGGTTATTCCAGCAAAATCTAACAGCATTAAAAGTAACTGGGCCATTAGTGAGAGTGATACCTTGTTGAGTAAAGTTTTTACTAAGCCCCCTTTATTTCAGACATGCCCCCACACTTAGGGGGGCTTGTTCTGCTGAACTTCATACTTTTGTCACATACCATCTGCCTTGTCCGTTTGAGGAAGGCTTTTTCTGCATAGATTTACTTAGAGACACCTGAGAAATCAACTCGCCAAGCATAAATATTAGAAATATTAGAATATCCCATGGCTAGACATTTTAGTAATTCTGGAGAAAGATTTTTGAGTCTCATTCCCAGGTTGTCAAATACCGACTCTTTGACTGGCAGCCTAGGAGCACGATGCTGCTATAAAGGTGAGGCCACCCCTGTGTGGTCTGTTTGTTTAAAGCTCCATCAAAGACCTACAGTGGTTGAAATATGTTGGCTTTTTTAATAATTTAGCTACTACAATAAAGGCTTTTTAGTATTTTCTCCCTCGCTGATATTTTTTCTTACATTTTGAGGTGCTTGGATTTCCTTCTTCATCTCTGGAATTGCTGTTGAATTTTTAAAATGTCATTTATAAATGCTTTGAGCAACACACAGAAAGTCCATTCACCTCATTGTATTGAAGTGGTGGCAGAAATGTCATCGTCTGCAAGTAAAATCAAAACTATCTGCATAGATACCACTATGAGTAGGTATAAAAGTTGTTTCTTTGGAATTTAAGCAAACTGATTCCTTAAACAGCTGCTGGTTTTGTTCAGGGTTTTTTTCCTGGCTGCAATTTGGCCTGCCTCTGAGCCTTTTCCACTGAGGGAGAGCAACTAAACTTTACAACCATAAATCACAATATGTGATGCGTTCAATTCATTAAGAACTGAAGCACTGGGAGTTAGGCTGGTTATCAACAAGCCTTGGAGACATTAGCAACTGCTGGTCTAAATATTGGCATCCCTATGGACTCCCATATGACTGGGGAGAGAGAGAACAATGAGGTAGAAGACATAGAGTGGCCTTACCTGGAAAATAAATTCACCATTCCTCCCTTGTTTACTTCTTAGCGCCTTAGTGGCAGCCTTTCTTGCTATATTTAGTGACCCATGTCATGTAATCTTTGCCACCCTGTCACCATGTGAGAAATGTCCAGTAGGGGGTTAAGCATGGATAGAGAAACAATGTGTCATGCTGCATTTTGTCAAAAGCCCAGTCAATTCTGCGACCACCTAAAGCAAAACAGGCAAACAATAGGCATGTAAAGTTATAAAGAGATGAGTCACGGAAGAATTCATTCCCATCAAATTGATTGAACGTGAGCGTGAAATCTTTTCATATAAAAAGCACTCGTGCCTTTTGAGATTTTCTCGTTGAAACATATTGTTGTGAAATTGGTTCACAATACTTCTACTTTGGGTTGTTTGGCAGTCTGTAGTCTGCTTCATGTGTATCACAATGGAATGGAAAAATAATTCCCACAAAATATCACCTTAGCCAGTAAAATGTGATGGACTCTATTCTGGGCCACTAAAAACATTTTATGCAATTTGTTGTTATGGGAACCGACTTTACCGGAAAATCATGTGGCCACTATGAGGGTGATTACTTTTTCTGACTGTAGTGGCTTGAATTTAAAGCTACTCTGTGATTATTTTATGTGATTGTTGCATCTTTCAAATCATAAATTGGCATTTAAACCTAGTGATAATTTGGGCCAGATGTTTTTTTTCGCCCGTTCATGCACTGCTGTCTGCCACAGAGTCGGAAAAGTAAAAAGTCAGACACATAATCTGTTTTGTCAATTAAATATGAGGACTTGTTGCCTGTGGGCAGATTTAGAACAAACTGATTTTTTGTTAAATTTCTAATATCTGTTGTCTATCGGCCATGAGCCTCCAGCCAAAACGAGTCCAGGAGGTGAAAATGTCTGCAAGATTGTCATGGAAATGCAATATTATGCTTTCATATGCTTGAAATTTCTACCTATCTTTTGCAGAAAACAATGATTTGCATGTATTTCAGACTTGAACATCCCAAATAAATGCATTTAGTCGCAAAAACACAACAAGATTCAAGGGAGTCAAAAAGAGGTGAATGCTTTCCATTGCTTCTCTAATTCTGCAAATGACAACTAATGACATGCAAATCATGCTGCATGTATTTAAATGGTTCACAATGAATCCTGTCAGTTTTGTTTCTCAGTTTCTGTCATCACATTTTCAGCACCTACACTTCTTTCTGATTCTTTTCTTCTTCAGGGAAATAGATTCAACCCTATTTTCTCTTTTTAGTGGATAAGCTTATACTGCAGGACGAAACTATGTGCAGCAGCCTAAGACACTTAACAATAATAAGCCCAAAAAAACATGAATTCTCAAGACAGTTCTTCCCCTAATTGCCCAATTCAATGCAGTAATAAGGAAAATTCTAATATGTTCTCTAAGTTCAATAATTGTTCTCATTCATATGTCTTTTTGTGCAAGATTTAAGTGGCAAACAAATAACCGCTCACAAAAACACTCACACACACACACACTCCCGACTGCTCCCCAACAAGATAAACATAAATACAGCAGCATTAGTTTGCATCTCATTGGTGAATACATCTGAGTGCCAATTCTGTTTGAACATCTGGTTTTGTTTACTCAAAAGTACCTGAAAGTGAGGAAATGAGGTGACAGTGTTTTCCCTTCGGAGCGTATTGTTGATCTCTTGATCTCTCTCCTCTCCTCTCTTTATTACCCTCTTCTTATCTTGGATTTTCTTTTCATCAGATTGCATTTTAGTCAGTGCTGGAATTATTATTATCAACACATTTATTCTTCTGTAACCCTCCATCTGGAACAGTCCCATTCTAACAGCAGCCCGTTGATAACACTACATGAACCAATGCATTATTGATCACGGTCAATGGCTTTCAAATGAATAATGTTTCTGAAAATTCTGTGGCATTGCCGCAGTTGCAGTCCTACTACAGCAGAAACAACCGATCATGTAATCAGATGATTCTTGGTTCATTTTTTGCTCTGAATAATTCAGTGTTAAACAAGGGATGAAACAAGGAAAAGATTCCGAGAACATTTTCGAGTGCCAATATTGCCTCCTAACAAAAACTTCTGCAGGACTGACATAGACTGACAAGTACTCTGTTTTTCAAAGTTGCTCCATCATCACTGATGTTTCCTGTTTTGAAGCTGCATGAAAAATAAAATGATTTTTTTTAAGCACAATAGAGCCTGTCAGGCTGTTTGCATAAATAGTTTCCATGCTAAATTGAAAATATTTT